AATTTTCTTTTTAAAAGAGAATGCATGGTTCTAAAATTATAAAACTATATAATTTAAAACTATCAATAAAACATACTAGAAAAGAATATAAATACCGTTTATTCTTATTCTCTTTTTTTAAATCTGTATATTGATAAATATAAAACTCCGCCACAATAGACTTTTATTATGCTTAGTATCTTCCTGCCTTTATAACATTTTTACAGATGTTTCAGGTTACTTCTATAAAATTAATATTTTATTGAAATTCAAGCATTCCTTCCTTGGTTATTTCCAGCAAAATATCTTTCACCATTACAACTTTTCCTATCCATATTTCATTTCTTTAAAATAAATAATTTCTTTTATTTTATTTCTTTAATTTAAAAATATAATTTTTTTCAGTTTAAAATAACAAAATATGCATAAAGTATAAATATTTTATAAAATAATTAAAAATTAAAATAAATATACCCATGTCAAACATATGGGAATATTATGGAGGATCTTCTTTAGCATTAAAAGGTAAAAACTGTACACTTTTAATATCTGATAAACGCTTAGGAAAAGGCAGCATTACTACATCAACTGCATTCAACCGTATTCATCAAATAACCCCTTACACATATGTTTGTTTACCTTCCTTTATACCTGATTCACAAAAATTGGTATCTTTACTCATAAAGAATAAAAATTTGTTTAAGTATACAGAGAATAGATATATGTCACCACAAGAAATAAGTGCTTTACTTTCTTATATGTTATATGATAAAAGATTTATGAATTACATAACTGATCCTATTGTAGCAGGTGTATTAGGAGATACCCCATACATCTGTGGAATGGATTCATTAGGATGCATGAATGATCATGATAATTTTGTAGCCGCAGGTACTGCATATACTAATCTGATAGGAGGATGTGAGGCTGTGTTCACAGACAATTTAGAGCCTGAACAATTATTTGAAGTAGGTACTAAGTTGTTTTTATCTGCCATAGAAAGAGATGCTCTCTCAGGTTGGGGAGTAGAAACTGTATTGATTACACCTGGTAAAGTAGTTAAGAGAAGGATTAAGGGAAGAATGGATTAAATGAATAATAGCTTTATAATTTGTTACAATTATTTAATGATATTTATTTTTAAATTCATAAATTAAAATATAAAATATTATTTAATGTGTTATATTTACCAGAAATCTTTTATTAATCCTTAAGAAAATATTATTTATGAATTATTTTTTAAAAGTAACTTTGTTAAATCAATTATATTTTTTAATCAATTTTTAAAATAATATTTATTAATCTCTAAAATAAATATAATATTTGTTAGAATTAAATATAATATTAATATAGTAATTTAATTAAGATTATTTAAATTTAATATTTTAATTAATTAAATTATATTTTAAATTTATTTTTATAACTTTATATTTTTAAATAAACCTTGGATAACTCATATTAACTCAAAAGATGATTTATTAAAATATTAAGTAGTTATGTTAAAAAATTTAAACATTTGTTATAAATGTTAAAAATTAGAATATTTATTTTATATAAACATTTCATTTCTTCTTTTTCTTATCACTTTTCAGTAATACACTAATTTTACTACCATTTATTTCAGTCTTATTAGCATATTTAACAGCCTTTAAAGCTGATACCACACTCTTATAATTAACAAATCCTTTATTCTTATCAACACCACAATTTTTAATATCTCCATACAAAGAAAAATGACTTATTAAGTCCTCTTGAGTAACATTATTAAGATTATATACAAATACACACTTCTCATCTTTATTATCAACTATAACATGGGAAGGATCATAATATTTAACTACAAGACATTCATCATCCTCTCTTAATCTTACTTTTCTATTGACACATTCTATACATGTCTTAGCACTGATCTCTTTTTCATATTCAATTACAATCACTTTATAAATAAAGTATTCTCTTAATAATTCTATGTTAACTATTGCTCCATACTTTAAAAAATACTCTTTTAGGAAGGAAAGAGATACTTCCTTAGGTATTCTATCTACAAATACAGTATGTAATGATGATTTAGTGATAACAATTGAGGGAATTTTATGTTTCATTACCTTAATAAATGAATTAGCTGATTTAGAGGAGAGGAATGTAATCGAATAGGATGTATCTGACTTATTAATTTCTGATACTTTACCAAATAATTTGCATAATTGCAATAATGAATTTAATGGGACTGAAGGAGCATTTGATATGATTACCTTTAACATATAAAAAATTAAATAATAAATATAAATTAATTTTATAAATATTTATTTTATTAAATAATTTATTTATTAAAATAATAATTTCTATTAACCTCTCTTCTTAATGCCTTCATTTGTTCATAAGCATCATTCATTTGTTCATCAAATACTTCGTTACCTAAGAGTATTTCCTTATGTTTAATGCACAATAAATTAATTATTCTCACTTTTAATATTAAATTATTAACATTCTTTATCTGATCAATCAGTGCTTTAACTTGATAAGTATTTAACATTTCTATGTACTTTTCTAGTTCACCTAAATTAACATCTAAATTAAGAAGACTATTTTCTAGGTTATCAATAAACATTTCATACTCATTTGGATTAGCTACCTCTTCTTCCTTAATTAATTGATTAATTTTTAATTCGGGATCATAAAAATCTCCCTCCTTCATAAAAATAACAGAGTAACCATCTGAAATGACTATTGAATTTGAATTTATAGAAATTAAATTACATTTCTCTTGATATACTTTCTTGATCTCATACTTTTCAATATGAATTAAATGATTAGAGGCAACCAACCAATTATATTCATCAAAAATAGATATTTTACCGATAGGCCCTGCATCGCATAAAGTAATGCTTTTTATGCATTCACCAAAGTCAAGCCCATAAATTTTAACTGTTTTATCCATAGAGTAAGAAAAAATCATATCATTATGAAATATTACATCCTTTATTGGAAGGGAGTGACCATATAAGCTGAATAGTTTCTTTTTAGGGAGTAAAACTACATGAATAATTTGCGCAGTCACTACTGCTAAGTATTTTTTATCACTACTCACTTGAATGAGCGAAATATCATCTTTAAAGTCAAATTCATTGATTAATTTTGCTTTATCCCCAAATATTTCATAAACTTTTAATATGTTATTTTCTCCTGTGTATAATTTTCCATCCTTAGCATAAAATGAAGTAAAATTACCTTCAAAATTAAATTTAATTTCTCTGCTTAATAAATCAATTCCTTCTATAACTCCTTCTTTTAGCACATAAAGTGTATCATAGCAAACAAAGAAATCTAACACTTCTTTATCAAATTCATAAACATTTTTTATGATTTTATCCTCCCATTCAATGATGGTATGATCACTCATTGTGAATAAATTATTAAAATGTTTCATTTGTTTTATCTTGCTTTCATGATAATAAAATGATTTAATTTCATTTGGTTTCTTAAATGTTACTATCTCATTCTTTCCTAAAAATATTACTGAGTCATCTACAACTATAAAATTATAGAATTTATTGCTTTTTTTATAAACAAAATCACTTAAATCTTGAAGTCCTTTCTTACTTAAAATGAATAAACTTCCATTGTAAAATATTTTTGTAATTTCTTTAATTTTGTATGCACTTTGTTCATAATTTGTTAAATTAAGTTTAATGATTTTATTTTTTAAACCAATAAATAAATCATTTGCATAAACCAACTGCTTTATTTCATCGGTCAATGCCATTTCATAAATTAAGGAATCATTTTTTAATATTTTAAGTGTTTTATCAGCACAACCCAAGAAAATACATTCATTAACAGCAATTGCATTAATGAAAGCATTAAAACCCTTTCTAATAAATATTTCTTGCATTGAATCATAAATGATTAATTGTGAATCACTTGTAAAGTAAATGTTATTAGAGTACTGTACAATGTTAGTAATCTTTTTAGTGCTAAGCTTGTGGTATGATTCATTAATTTTGACAACTCCATTTTCCATACCAACTACTGATAAATTAAGAATAGCAGTAATTTTATTTGGTAATGTTATAATTTCAGTTAGAAAAGAGCTATCCCACTGGTATATAGTATTATTATATGTAATATAAGTGCTATTATTCTCTACGAATATAAGACTATCACTCTTACTGATTTCATTGCATCTTTTTATAGGAGTAAAGTTTACTGGTATAAAATCCATGGATGTGTAAAAAATATTAATTTATTATTTTATAATAATTCATAAGATAATAAAAATAAAATATTAAATAAGTAAATTAATTTTAAATAAAGAATTGAATTATAAAACATAAATATTATATTTATATTTTATATTTATTTAATAGTTAAAGATATTTGTATTTTATTTGCATTAAATAAAGTATTAAAGATTATAAAATATATTTCATACATTTCTTAATTAGTTATATTTAGTTTAAAAAATATTTATTCTATAATTATTTAAGTAGTTTAATATTATTATTTTAAAAATAAGTTATTAGTATTTTCAGATATAAAAACAAAGGATATTAATTCATTTCTTTTAAATGACTAATGTTCAAAAGAATTTTTCCTATGAAGAAATAAAATCCAACTTAAATAATATTGTTGATACTGAAACAAAGTTAATTTAAAATTTATAAATTCCAGGATTTTAAAAAACCTCTTGTAAGTTTTCAAAAATTTGATTATTTATGAAATATATTTAGATCATGTGCTCAATAGTTAAAAACAATATTTTATAGATATTTGCAATACAGTCCCCAAAAAGTAGTATTTTTAATAAATATAGAAGATATATATATAAATAAAATTTACCCTATATACAAATAAGTACAAACAAAGTGATACACTCAGCCCCGTTAGCTCAGTCGGTAGAGCATCAGGCTTTTAACCTGAGGGCCGTGGGTTCAAGTCCCACATGGGGCGATTTTTATTATTTTAACTGTAAAAAACTTATTTTTATTTATTAAATCATTTTAAAAATATTTAAGTTATTAAATATCATCGCAAACCATGGAGTTAATTCATTCTTTAATGCTAATTCCTCCAATTCATAATAATTAACAAACCTACACTCTTCAACTTCAGTTGGATTTTCTGCATACTCCACATCCTTCTTTATTAAAAATAAATAGTCTACTTCATATTCTCCATAATTTTCAGTTCCTTTATTTTTCCATTGTAGTGTTTCTTTGTCTTCATATTCTTTTATCTCTCCTTTATTAACATCCTTTCCGAGAAACCTGAAAAAAGATTCTTCATTGGTAGCTTTATACAACATCCTTTCATAAAATATAAAATCCTCCTTCTTAACATTTATGTTTAATTCATGCTGTAATCGTAATACACCATGGTTTATGCAGTCATCTACTGGTGATGAAAATGAGTTTATATTTAAGAATGGATGTGAACAACATGTGTTAGACCATAATCCTGGATATACTAATTTGCTTTGAGCTCGTTTTTGGATCATTAGCTTGTTTTCATGGTTAAATATAAATACGGAAAATGCTCTGTGTAAAGTAAGTGAATTCAATAAATGGGCATTTAATGCTTTCTTTGTTCCTATAATTTCATCCTGATCATTTACAATCACTAGATTTCTATTATAATTATCCATAAGGGTTACTACCTTAGTAACTTATTTATTAGATTTAAATTAATAAATTAAAGATTCTTATTTCTTTTAAAAATTATAATTTTATAAATTATCACTGATACTTTTCATTTGATAAAAAATTAAACAAAATATAAATTGATCAGGAGAAATAATTTTAGATGTATTAAGAAAATAAAGTATAAATTACTTATACAAATTGATTAAGAAAATTAAAAAAAACATAACCACATCTCATAAATAAAATTTAGGATTAAATTTTACAACTTTTAATTATTTTTATTTAGCATGAGTTAAAAAATAGTATATTTTGAATAAATTATTTATAAAAATATTACCAACTCATGTTATAATTACTTATACATTAAATGTAAAAAAATATACGTTTATTTATTCAATTAAATTATGATAAGACTGATCTTTAACAAGTGAATAATAAAAAATATTTATTATTATTCCTTTTAAAGATACAGTCTTAGAAAATTATTATAAATTAAAACTACAATCAAATACAAAACAATTAAATATTTATTTTCTGCATTTGTAATTGAAGAAACGCATTCTTAGAGGAGTCTAATAAATATATATCCTAAAAATATTTATATTTACAAATAAAACTGTTGTATACCCAAGAAATTTTTATCTTAAAGATACATTTTTCAGAGATAATCTTTATTAAAAGCATAATCTATAAAATTTTATATATTTCCTTTACTTATGACATTTAATTAAAACTTAAAATCTTTTTAGTTAAAAAGAACCAAAGGTTTTTCATTACAATAATTTATAAATTATAAAATAAAAGAAGATTTAGGATATTTAATTAATTATGAAGTAATTTTATAAAAAGAATTTTATATTTTGTATGCTTCAGTGATAATTTTATACATTTATAATCAAATATTAAAAAATAAATAAAGACCTTCAGGATAATTTCAATTTACGATAATATTGAGAAAGAATCCATTTTTTCAGAACCTGAGATACAAACAAAGAAATACTTTGTTGTGTCCTATAGATACATCTTTATGGTTTAAAAACTATTATAAATAATCATTCTAGGAAAACATTTATTTAAAAATAGAAAGTTTCTTTCAACATTTTCTTATATTGCTGCTCTCAAATCTTGTCTCCTTAAAAAATATTATTAACTAAAGAAATTTTTTTCTGTATTTGTATTTCCAATGATATCATTAACAAATAAAGCAACTTATACCCAGAAAATCACATGGTAAAGGAGCAAAGAGCCATAAATATCATAATTATTTACTATATTGATAAAGAGTGTAAGATATTACTTTATTTTACAAAAGGTTTATAATTGATAATCTTTATTTATTGCCTCCTTGAAGACATATTTTTTTCATTTTTACTGTCTAATTATTTCATTAATTGAGAATAGAGAGTGGGTACAACTGTTAAATTTAGTAGTGATCATAATATTATTATTTCTTATAAAATATATAAGTATTAATGAATAATTTTATATGTTCCTTCGGTTATTTATTTTAAATTAAAAGTTACTTTTTTATATTTTATTTCTTAATCTCTTAGGTAAATAATAAAACTATTTACAAAGTAAAATTCCATGTCCAATTTGTCTCTACTTATAGAAGAAATCAATTTTTAAAAATGTAAATGATGTTTTCTTGCTGTAAAAGCTACCTCATTTGAATAGAAAACCCTTAATACACTTTATGTTCCTGCCCAGAAGGGTAGAAATTTTTAAAGAAAATAATGATTCTTGAGTACTTATCCCTTTAAAAGAGAGTATTCAGTTGGATTCAACCAATATAGTAAAATTTATGAGGAAAAAATTTACTCCTCTTTTCTTGGATTCTTTTATATCACTATTCAAAATCTTTATAATTATAAGCAATTTAAATTTTAAATATACCAGTTTGATCTGTTTTAATTTGCTAATACAATACATTTGTTATAAAATACCCACATTTAAATTCTCTTTATTCTTATAGCATATGTACTATCTCATATAAATGAGTTAGAATGGATAAAATTTATTTTAAATTTCCGATTGGGAATTATTTTGAAAATATTTTGTGTAAAAAAATAAAAACTTTAAGAAACAAAAAATTATGCCTTTTCAGTTCTCTAAATGCAATTATAAAAATCAAAAGTTTTTTAAATAATGAAAAGCATAATTAAAATACTAAAGAACAGTGTAATAATAAAATACTTGTTAAAATATTTAATTAATTATCTTTTTATTTTCTTATTTTTTTCATTTATGACTTCAACTTTATCAACTAATTTGTCATTCACACAGTTTTTAATGGTTTCTAAATTAACCTCACCATCAATTAGTTCAGCATATATTATAATTCCCTTTGCCTTTGCTACAATAAAAAATCCATTAATCTCATTCTTAGAAGGATCTCTTAAAATATACTCATTCATAGAATAAACCTTTATATCTGGAAAGTATAACATTGGAACATTGTTAATTTCAAGTAGTTTATTAATTCCTTTATTAATTGCTTCAAAAGAATTACCCTCTAAAATTCTAACTTTTACTAAAAGTTTATAACTAAAGTTATCATTTGTGTTAATAAGTGACCTAAAGTTTATGCACTTTCTGTATATTTCAGTAAACTTTGCATCACAGCCAAATATCCTTAAATATCCTTGTTCTGGTTTATCAGTAGATATTTCTTTCTTTGATTCTTGAAAAGAAAATAACATTAAGGTACTCTGATTGGATACAATTATTTCATTATTTATTATTTTAATTTCAAATGATTCTGCCTCATTAAATCTTCTTTTGTCTAATCTTTCCCCTAATTTTAAGATGTCTGTTGTTAAATTCATCATTGAATTTGTAATTTTATTTTAATTAATTTTTATTTTTATAAATTAAATATAATTTAAAAAATATAATTATTAATTTAAATTAAAATTATATCTTCCAACAAGAATGTCTTTGTGTGAAATGTGCGGAATAAATAAGCCTGTCACAATAACATCATTTCCATCTAAGAAAGTATGTAAAGAATGTTTTTTTATTTACTTTGAAGAAACAATTCACTCAACTATTACTAATTCAAAGATGTTTAAAGAAAACGAGAAAGTAGTTATAGGAATGAGTGGAGGAAAGGATAGTACAGTTTTAGCTTATGTATTGAATAAACTTAACAAGGAAAAGAATTATAAATTAGATTTACATTTATTAGCCATTGATGAGGGTATTTCTGGATATAGAGATCATTCTTTGAAAATGGTATATGTAAATCAGAAAGAATTAAATTTACCACTAAAAGTGATTTCTTATAGAGATCTTTACAAAGTTAGTTTAGATGAGGTAGTCAGCATAACTGGGAGGAAGAACACATGCACCAAATGTGGCACTTTTAGAAGACATTCTTTAGAAATGGGGGCATTAGAGATGAATGCTACTGCATTAGTTACAGGTCATAATTCAGATGATATTGCAGAGACTGTTTTGTTAAATTTTTTTAGAGGGGATGATCAAAAACTATTATCATGTACACAATCTAGAAGCTTTGGAAAGGTCAGCCGATGTAAGCCATTTAAGTACACATATCAGAAAGACATCGTCATGTATGCATTATATAAAAATCTTAAATATTTCTCGACAGAATGTGTTTATTTTCCAGGGGCCTACAGAGGAAACATGAGAATGTTTATTAAAAAATTAGAAAATATAGATAAAGGATTCATTATGAATATAATTAGAAGTGGTGATTATTTTTATAAAGAGTGTAAGGGTATTGTTTTTAAAGAATGTAAAATATGTAAAATTACGAGTAAAAATGATATTTGTCAAGCATGTTTATTAAGTCAATCCATTAACAATCTTTAGCATAAATAAAGTTATTTATTTTATATTTTAATATATTTTATGATTTATATTGTTTTAAAAATGTATTTATTTTAATATTATTAAAAAGTTACATTCAAGAATTTTTTAGATTAAAATGATTTTAAAATAGAAGTTTTTCAAAATGACAAAAATATAAGAAAATCCCAATAAAAATTACTATAATTATTCTATCACTTACATGTTTGTTTGTTACAAAATAAATCTCATTTGTTAATATAAGATTTGATTCAACAACTTAGATTTCCAAAAATAAATCAAATTGAAATTATCAAATATCCTTAATAACAACCTATATGAAACAAAATACCTAAAATCAGGAATTAATATGACAAAATTACAAATATTTGTATAAATGTTCATATAAAAAAATGACTGAGGCTGTTAATAAATGACAAAAAAAGAATATTTGATTGATATTCTTATATTAAAATAGAGCTTTATAATTTT